ATTGACAATAATCGTATTGTCAATACATTCAATATTGACGTCAATACATCGGTATTGACAATATTTCTGTATTCACATCATCAATATTATTGTCAATAATTCCTCTTCGCGTCAATATATTGATACGTGTGGGGTTCGCTTTAGGGATAATTGAATGTAGTCATCGTCCCAAGCTCCCTTCACTCCATTGATGTTGCCAGCTAACGAGCGATTGTTGACGATGAATAGAGAAAAATTCACTATAGGCGATTTGTCGATCATAAATGTCGCCTTCCATAGCGCCCACCTTCGCAAGTGAATCCGCCTTCTAATTACCCAAAATTGAGCAATGCGAAGGGACCCACGCGAAGGTGATGATGAAAGAGCGCACGGATAAAGCACTAAGCAGTTCTCGTATTTTCAAGAGAAAATACGAGAAGTGCTTTACCGGCCTAATGGAACGGATAGCCTCGACAGAACTGAGACTATCCGTAAACATAAAGTGGAAGAAGTGAAGCAATAGTTTCCAAAGTGTAGTGAATTGCTGCCAGTTCAGCCACATACACAGAACAAGGAGCTTCAAGTTTTCGAGAGGCGCTATGAAATTCATTAAATACACCAAAACCAGCGGACTCCTCTATTAGAGATCCATCTGTGAAAAACGTTCTTGCAGAATCAACATGGCCAAACTTTGCAGAGTATAATGACGGAGCAATCATAGGACGATGATGTTCTGGAATTCCGCGGATTTCCTGCGTCATAGATAAATCAAAATTCACTGAATTGCCGAAATCGGAGAAGACTACACGATTGGAAATATTTCTTGAAGGGCTGACATCCTGTGTTAAATATAGGTAGTACAAAGTCATAAAACATGTTTGAGGATTTAGCTCGAGAAGCTTCTCGAAGTTTTCGATCACCAGTGGGTTTATTACTTCGCAACGGGTGAGGAGCCTCAGAGATAACTCTGAAAAACGGACGGATAGTGGCAACATGCCAAGGCTATTTTGATGATGTTTTACTTGTTGATAATTATCATGTTATAACACTGTAGTCTGAACAAGAAATTTTTCAGTTACAATTCATCATTATGAGTAGCATTGATTAAAAAATGCGAGCACTTTTAGCAAGCACCGATATCTTCAAGAAATTTCAGAGGTCTTTCAAGAAGTTTAGATATTCTTAGATAGTTTCAAGGTATTCTGTGGAGTTCCGAGTACTTCGAAGACGATCAGATAACTTTAGAACAATTGCATTCTCTTAAGGAAATTTGCAACAACTTTCTTGGAGTTCCGTGGAAGTATAGGATATTTCGAGATTTCTATTATTGATCCGAAAACTAGAAGCATCAGGGAGCTGCGTGACAGCTTAGTTTTCAAAACTTGACCCATGTGAGTAAATTTTGCTTCTATTTTTCGACAATACTACAGAAGGACTAGCCTTCTTCTTCTTTGCATTTCAAACTTATTGCATATCGCATATTAGCTTATTGCGTGCTCTCAACTTAGTGTTCTAGATGCACTTCCACAGTTATGAATTGAGAGCTTTCGATGCCTGTACCATTTTTGCATCAGTATAATTGTGTGGCAGGTACAATCATACTCTATGCCCAGGGAAGTCGAGAAATTTTCCAACCCGAAAAATTCCTAGACCGGACCGGAAATCGAACCCAGCCAACTCCAGCATGGTCTTGCTTTGTAGCTGCGCCTTTACCGACTGAGCTAAGGGAGGCCTAGCCTATGTTGGCAGTTTGAACATTGGTGTATTGTTTCAAGATAGTTTTGGAAAAAAAAACCTTGAGGCCTGACATTGAGATCTTGTTGATTATCTAGCAAATCCACTGAATGCACCATGATGTCACCTGAACTTGTTTATAAACATTAATCAATCAATTTTGTATTGCACCATGTCTGAAATTAACGATTTACATAGTTAGAGATGCTTAACGCCACCAATGGCCATGGAAATACCCCTCACCACCCACCCCTCCCCCAACAGGGGAGTTTGGTAAAGGAGATGATCAACCCGATTCGTGCCTTCCTCAAAATTGATCTTCGCTCGCTTTCTATTTACTCTCTATATACAATTTTCACACTGCCGTACTCTAACCGAGCTATCAACTCTATTCTTTCATCTCCTCATCCATCGTATAAAATGACCACTTTAAGTCTGATATTTGACGTTAAGCATCTCCAACTGTTTATAAAGTTCTCCGGAATCTTTCTTAAAGTTCCTCAGGTCTACCATCTAGCATTGCTGGACATATTCAAAAATATGTTGGATCCAATTGTCGAAAACGAAACCGATAGATACAAATAACTAAAACTTAAACACGACCGTATTTACTTCCCTGAAGGTACCTGAATCATATCCGGACTGTTATGACCATTATAAGTGTCTCAACATGAGAATTTATTATAAGATGCGCAAATATGGACCCCTTCATACTGTATGCGTGATAATGTTTGCACCATTGAGCAATGTCAAAATTTAAAAAAAATCTCAAAAATTTTGTTTTCCAATTTTTTTTTTTTCTTCAAGGGGGGGATGTTTCTCAGAATCTTAAACTATGTTAATCATCGATCGAGTTTCCACTTGATGCAATTACGGCCTCCACACGCTTCCGGAATGCACGGCAGGTTCTAATAATGTAGTCTGGATCCATTTCTCTCCAGGTACGGGTCAATTTTTGTCTGAGGCTTGCTGTACTCGGGTGGCGTTTAGAACCGGCCTTGGCCTTCATGACGCGCCATATTGAGTAATCTGCGTGCGGTTCGAGGTGTGGCACGGAGCCCCATCTTGTTGAAATACAAAATTTGGCTTCGGACCGTACTGTTCTTTGATCCACGGAAGAACATACTTACTTAAAATCCCGATGTAGACCTCCGTGTTGACCTTGTCGCCTTCTGGAATAAACACCGGGTCCATTTTTTTACCATCGGAATCCACCAATCCAAACACCATAACGCTAGCAGGATGCTTGGTCAGATACACGTTCTTGTGCTCGTCGGCCACGTCTTTTACCGGAAGAGAACTAATATACTGTTCGGTTCTGGAATTAGATACGGGATCGACGGAAAACATGCTCTCGTCGGTGAACAGGATTACCAGATTTTTTCGCTTAAGGAAGTTTAAGATTTTCTTGCATCGTTCGACTCGTAGCTCCCGGATGCGGTTGTTAATCATGTGAGTTTTTTTTCCGTGCCCTCGACTTTGTCCCGCAATCTTCCTTTACGATCTTCCGTGCCGTAAAGTCACTGATCCCGTGTTCCTTTGCCATTTTCCTTATTGAGCGCACTGGATTCACCCGAATCTTCCTTTTGATAGCAGCGATAATCCTCGGAACCCGAGCTGACCTCGGACGACCTGTGGCCTCCTTGGCGGATAGTTGTCCTTTCTTTTCTCGGTCTAAAACCCTTTTGACGGTCCACCGGGACACTCCCACGGCGATTGAAATGTCTTTTTGTGACATTTGCGCGTGGGACAAATCACGAATACGCTGTCACTTCGTCATGGTGCAACTGTCACACTAAGTTAAGCATTTTCTTTTATACACAGCCTACTACGGTATGAGCTATAGACTTCTCTGACGTTTGTAAAATGCACTTGTGGCCGGAACTCGGGGTAAATTATAAGTATTAGTGCAAGAAAACCTTTGAATTTACCCAAACCTCTGCACTAATACATGTGCAATTCAGAAACGTCAGAGAAGTCTATAGGTTACGTGCTTGCAAAGAAAACCAAGGCATTGTATGCACAGGTGAAACGGGAACCTTATCTGTACGATGGTGCAAACATTATAACGCATAAGGTATATGTATGATTGCCAATTATGAAGTTTTTACCTCAATACAGATTCTCTACCACCCTAAGGACAGCTGAACTCTTACCGGAAGTGATTCATGTGGTCCCAGGAGCTAGATACAATCGCTGTCAATGATATTGTTATTGCACAGACAAACAGACGTAACTCTTCATTGTGTATCTTCGTTCATGCATTTAACGGTTGATTTGAATATTATCAGTTCCGCGAACTACTCGCCGCAGCGCTGGCATCGGATCACTTTGACGTTTCTATATATTCTATAGAAATTTTATGCAATATTGTTTACGAGTTAACGAACAAGCTTGTTTTCCGCGAGAAGCCAGATAGATGTCGTTACTGAGGTTATATGTTTTGAGATACTATGTTTTCAAGAACAAGTTTTTCAAAGAGTTATGTCTGTTTGTCTGTGGTTATTGTATTTTTATATTATTTGATATGTCGCGTGATAGATTATGGTGGAATCCGAATATTAGTTTGTATTTACAATGTTATTCCATAAATTGAACGTGTCCACGTGGACATTGATTATACTCCCCTCCCCGTGGACAAGCCTGGACTTTTCCGTCCCCCTCTAAGTTGTCCATGTGGTATATGGAAGACCCCTTAAGCTAGACAAATAGCTATTAAGCAGCTATCTGTATGAAATATAAGCGAGTTTTCTTCAACTAGTCGAGCTGGGTCTAGTTTTACAAGAGATTTTATAGCCTTTCGATGCCCTTTGGTGGACGAGGAAAGTATAATTCAATGGACGTTAACCTGCGAGTCGAGTGAGTAGCATCTTTTATGTGGTCGCTTATCAAGGTGATTTGACTTATTACTTATATCATCTTATAGGGATTTCGTAATAACCACCGGTGGAATTATGAATTTAGTTGCATCCCAGGTCTCCATGAACTAATGAATTGTTCACTAGATCAAAAATCAAAATTACAAACTGCTGCCTGTCATCTAGCGCAACAACATGTGCAATCACGTCTACCACAAACAGATTAATCAACGAACTCATCCTGCACACTCTCGCCTGTTGGCTTCCTTCGGCTATGTGTACGATGCTGTGACTCTCAGTTAGTCAGTCAGTCAACCCAGTCAGTAGTACTTGGAACGCAGTGTGTACACAAGACCTTTGACATTGGTCTACTGATAACGAGCACATCATTATCTCCGGGATGAAGTGAAAGGTTCCACAATTTCGCCAGTTTGTTCTTATATTCGGTTCAATTCGGTTGTGTTCTTTCCCACTTCAGTCTCAGCTCAAGTGGCCTAAGTGGTACTCAATTATTATATCCAAAGCTGAGAGAAGCAGTTACCGATTATCGTACGGTGTTTGAATGGATTGTTTTTAAGGTACGACAGCGACGGTACCAGCATTCGAGTTTAAATTCGTTGATTTTTCTATGAAAAATCGAATCATTCAAATGGATTTGCAACGTGGTGTGTCGAAATGTGATTACGTAATACAGGATTTACTGGCTTTTTAGGAGTTTCGTTGATATTTTCTCATAAAAGTGAAGTTTTGATTGCATTGTGATAGATTTTTTACATGTAAACGATTGGCACTGTAACGAATTAGTAGTTTTTGGTGAGATTTGAATAAGCTTTGAAGAATCATTTCAATGAAAAACGAACAAATGAATATTTGATGAAAATAAGTGCAAACAAGTGATCTTTAAAATTTAATTCATTGGTTTTGTACCTTGCTGAGTAAATACACCAAGAAATATTTAGTGTGTAGTTAATTAACTCATCTAGAGAAATTATGTTTTATTTTAGCGTTTTGCCATATTTTTTTTTACTTGACAAGTTGTTCAGAAAAGATCGGATGATCTATCGGAATTCTTTTTGATTTTTTCCACAACTAAGATGTGCTTAAATTAAATCATGTGCCCTGGGGTGTATTTGTGTGACCAAAGCGAAATAACAGACCAAAACTAGCCTGTGGATTTTTTTTTCACTTTTCAATAAATCACAATTTTTTCGATAAATACAATGATATACGAAAATTGATAAAGAATGGAGTGACCACGCCAAAATCGAATGTTGTGAAACCAAGGAAGACGAAGCAAAGTTCAAGTTTAAAATAATGGCGATAAGTGAAGGCACATGCGATGCGGCCAGTAAGGATTATCAATGAAACGTGCTTTCGGGATGGGAAACGCTAAGGAACGTAACCGAAGAAGAACGTTTGAGATCATTGGATTCTAGGTGCCTGACCCAGAAAGTGTGCCAGTGATAAGGGAAGTCGGTTTATGCCCGATGACCAATTTGGTTGGTTGTAATCAGCTCGAAGAAGCTTATATTTATTTTTACTCGTGAAATATAGTAACAGTGTCAGGCAGGAGTTTGCGTGAAAGTTGAAGCATTATCATGAGTTCGGAATTTACATTCCAGGAGGAGCCATCAGTGAGAGAATAAAATGAGCATGTACTCTACGTGACGTACAAATCAGCTGTGACAGATAGTAGTAAAAGTGACGATTACTGAATACAACATGGGAAAGCGGAAATATTTGTTTGTGTATTTAGTATTAACAGTGTACTTCAGCGGCAGCATCAACGCGGAGAAACGAAGTAAGTTTTCATTCAGTTTTAAGGTTACTCAAATATGAAATCTACAAGTACTACAAGTTTATCGACTGATGTCACTTTTTCTTGATTGGGAAATGATACTTACGGCTGGAACATGTGATTGTATGAATGAGTATTTACGAAAATGGTGAACAAAATTCACTGCCTACCGGTGGGAACCGAGTACTGCTAGACGGGCGTTCTACCACTACCACCGTAGACTTGATGCTACCCTCACCAGTTTTCCGAAGCGGTAATGTGATAGAGACGGTTCGACCATAGAGGTAACTCTAAGACTTGAAGGTCCCGAAGAAACGTGCTCAACTTTTTGGCTCAGCTCTGGTACTCTCTTCGGTCCCAAGCTAATCGATGCACCCCTCGAAACATAGGAAAATCCACGAGCCCCTCATTTTATCTGTCAAACTTTCATAGCAAATCAAAACAAACATCGATTTGCTTGGGACCAATAGGCTAGTCAAGTAGTGAGCCAATTTAAAGTCGTTAGTTTCCACCGGTTGACCCCCTAGTAGGTACGCGAGATTGATTCACCACGTTCGTAACTACTCTCACTCTCATCGAACCACATGTTCTCTGTTGTTGAGTATTGAAGTGTGTTTGTTTTAACATGAGTGGTGCGGACTCACTTGAAATGGTTGTCAAAAAAAAACCAACAGCACTTGTCAAAATGAATCCAACGATCGGAACCAGCAAGAACGCTTACGCCTCTGAAACGATTTCGCCCGAAAGATAAAGCATTGCAATCAATGATCAAAATATTATTCTTAATCTAGATTAAGAAACAAGGATACACGTGTATTTCAGGGGCAAATAGATTCTATTCTTGCAAATAAAAGAGTACAATTATAGTTTTGAAACAAATATTAATGCTAGTAAACATCCTTAACACATAAGTCTAATACATCCAAATAAACGGCTCTGAGGGGACGCGATTCTATAATATTCGACTATTTTAATTTGTTATAGAACAGTCTCGTACTACATATTAAGACTGGTTCCGCACGTTACAATCAAGCAAATATAAATAAACAATGCGCAAGTCACGAACAAGTTTTAATTTTAGCTCTGGTAAAAAAAGCTGGTGGTGTGAGCTGCATAGAAATGATGTAAACAAAGGCATGAAAATTAATATTTTTCAAGAAAAATTACTTGACAATTGAAAGTGATCGAGTCCGCACCACTCCGGTTTTAACGAGTGATGATTTCCATTATGACCATGATGATTTCCATTATGATTAACGTACACAAAAAAAAAAGTTGGGACCCCCTTGTTTAGTTTGATACCGTTAGCACGTAAGGCTCTGGAACAAGTGTGTTAGCCCAAATAAATAATTAATTTTTGGAACTAGAGCCTTGGAAATCCTCAATCAAATGTATTCATTACAGTTCATAAGCTTTGAAACTTTTGCGAGACCCTTAATTTATTTGAAATGTAGGTTCTTGGATTTTATTCCATGTCCGTGGTCTTGAACAGCCCTTTAATGATAAATTGAGAGCTGGTTACTTGCAGAATTTTATCATATCATATCCCTCTTTCACGTATTTAGTTCTTTCTAATAGACACTGAGTTATGGGTATAGTTTGTTTCCCAACTAACATTTTCAGCTTATAAGCCATCTTTTCAAGCATTGTACTGTAAAGTAGCTGAAAGAAAAACTGCATATACAGCTACAAGCAAAAGCTAGCAGAATAGTTTTTAAAAGTGTTTACTCAACGCTTTCACAACCATTATTAAATTTGTCAGTCGTACTGAATAACAGCAGCCAATAAACTCTACTGTCAATTCTATGCAAATATTACTTAACTTTCAACTTGTAGCTGCAAAACAAATCTAAAAAGTGAATATATTACTCATTTGATGGCTTCTGTAAAACCAACCACTATTGCTGAGTAACATAAACATCAAAAGTGCTTTTTCGACAACTTAATAATCTGTACTCTGCTAATAAACTGTAATAGCGCTACTTTGGAAGCATTTTTGCAGTCTACTAGATTTATTTTTAGACTTCTTTACAAGGCCAACTAGTCGAGAAAAGTGATTCATGTGCACTATTATAAAGACTCTACTCAACGATCTTATCGTAGAGTAGAGTCATGTAGATTATTTTTTCGTCAGTCCACAATGTTGGCGTAGCGAACTTGGTAGTGACAAGGTTTGCCAATGTGGTCGTCTCGAATACGAGTCCAGGTTCCGGTGCAGGATAATAATTTGATGGTGTGCTTTACATTTGCATTTAGAAAAAATGCCGTTTGCATTTAAAAAATGGACAAAAATTGTCGATTTTTCTTGGGTTCAACCGCACTGACAAAACTACCCATGCAGCATCAATCAAAGTAACCCATGAGTCAGCAGACAAAATTTGACAGCTCTATCAGTCGAACTCTCTCTAACCGTGATGGCAAAAACAGTGAAGCAACTCCGTTCAGAAGTGTGCACGTTCAAAGAACGGCACCCCATCGCGTCGAAATCGGATATCGTGTGGCACTTTGTGGACGGCCGGATACGCCCGTTCCGGCATCTACAACATCTTGGCACTATTAGACAACAATCAGAGCAAGAAAGCCCGGTTCCGGACGGCCGACGACCCTGAGCGACAAGAAGCTCCAAAGGATGTTGAAGAGGAAGACCGAGGGAAAAGTGGCTACATCGCTGCGTGCGCTTGGCCGGGAGGTCGGTGCAACCGGCCAAACAGTGAATAAGTACCTGGCGAACATGAACATACATGTCAGGAAGCGGAAGTCACGTCCACTGGTTTCGGAGCTGCAGGCAATGACGCAGCGGCTGCGGCTGAATAAGATGGTCAACTCGTTTTCCCGGCAAATCGCGACGTGGCGGTGGTGATGGACGACGAGACCTATCTCACCCTGGATGGCAACGACTGGCAGGGCACTTCGTATTTTACTTTTCTCCCACGAAAGAAGTGAGCTCCGAGGTGAAGTTCATTTCACACACCAAGTTCCCCAAGAAGGTGCTGTTGTGGCTGACAATCAGCGAGAAGGGGATGTTAAAGCCGCTCTTCTTTCGCTCCAAACTGGCCGTGAACGGAGAAATTTATAGTACGAAATGCCTGCCGGAAGTTGCGTCGGCCCACTACTCGAAGCGATCGTTGGAGGAGATGGAGCGGCTGAATATCGATGTGGTACCCAAGCCGGCGAACCCGCCCAACGTTCCTCAGCTGCGTCCCATCGAGAATTTCTGGGCCAACCTGAAGCGTAAGATCTACTCCAACAATTTTGTCGCGAAAACTGAGGAGGAATTGATAAATAAAACGAAGAAAGAACTCAAAAACATGCCTACACGCATGTTTTCGCCCGCCATGGCGAGTGTTCCGGTTAACTGCCGGAAGGCCGCTTGCAAGGGCGTACACAGTTAGAACGAAACGTGTGATTTCACGTTTCACTGCATGTACCAAAAAGACCCCATCGTATATAACGTATTTTTAAATCAGTTTTCAAAATAACACGTCGTATTCTTTCATAGCATAAATTTACATGTCATGTAAAATTCAAGCATCATGTAATCTTGGGTCATGCGATTATATTTTGAGGTTAAGAAAAACAATTTATTTCATTATACCTGTTTTCGGATGATATTATCAATGCATGATTATTTGTTTTCAGATTTGTTCACAATAACTACACAGATAAAAATTCTGAATTTTAATTGTGATGTAAACATTCACGTAGACTTGTATTTCATTTCATGCTACCGAGCAACTTGTAAACAATGTTGTTTGCAAATATGGGCTTTTGTGTAAAACATGACTCTCTTCAGACAACGATCTTGCTTTCCACGATTTCAAAATTATTCGCCTTGACCGCGCAGATTCGTATGGAGGGGTGCTTCTCGGGATCAACAAGCTCCATTCCTCTTACATAATCGATCTGCCTTCGGTGACAGGCATTGAAGTTGTTGCATGTCAGGTTAACATTCGAGGTAAATGCCTCAGTATTGCCTCAGTATATCTTCCACCGAGAACTGCGATTTCTCGTCAAAGTTTCTCGGATATCTGCATGGTTATGCCGGAGCCACGGTTAATCTTGGGAGATTTTAACTCTCACGGTACAGGCTGGGGGAAACTCTACGACGACAACCATGAGAACGCTCTGGAATGTCGGCAGGAGAATGCGAAACGCATCATCGCCGATTAACGAAGACAAGAAGTACTCAGACAGTTGGATATTCAGCTTCACGCGGAAAGTTCGCCAGGATTCGGTGTCTGTTCAAACCAACGTTCGTGATCGTCCATCGGGTAGTAACGAAATAGATTCCCCGTTTTCGATGGTGGAATTCTCACTTGGAATTGCTCTCTTCTCTTGTAACAACTCAGCTCCAGGAATCGATAGAATCAAGTTCAACTTGCTTAAAAATCTCCCAGACGTCGCGAAGAGACGCTTGTTGAACTTATTCAATCAATTTCTGGAGCACAATATTGTTCCGTCCCATCGCGATGCTGTCCTGTATACGGAAATTGTTGGAGAAACTGATTCTTTTTCGTCTAGACAAATGGGTCGAGTCGAATGGTTCACTTTCAGATACGCAATTTGGATTTCGGAGAGGCAAAGGAACGAGCGACTGTCTTGCGTTGCTTTCAACTGAAATTCAACTGGCCTATGCGCAAAAACAGCAAATGGGTTTAGTTTTCTTGTTAGGAATCTGAAGAAGAATGGTTGCATTTTCAGCAACCTCAGAATCATGAGGGCTGACGATCGCTGGGAGAGAGCGGATCTTACTAGCAAAATCGTTATTTCTGCGATCCACCATCCTGGCCTGAATGATCTTTGTTAATCGATTACAATTGGTATTCAAGTTAGGCAGGCCAGTACGCTGGTACTGCCTACGAATGGTGTTACGGAGTCTAATGAGATCTTTGGTAGGGCTGCCAAGGTTCAGAGTGTTACTCAGCTGTCTGGATACTGGCACGAAATCCCCTCCTCGATGGTTTGTAGACACCGGTCAATATCTTCGGACGTCACCGGTTGGACATTGTAGTCGATGGTTGTGTCGACGCAGTGTTGATATTGCGCCCATTTGACTCGATGGTAGTTGCGCCGGGAAGCTTCGAATAGGTTAACCGAGGATCCAACTTCGGCCACCACCGGGTAGTGGTCCGAGCTCAGCTCCTGGAATGCCACAGGTTGCGAGATGTTGAGTCCCATGTTGCTTACGAAGATGTCGATGGTCGCATGGACCCCAGACCGACTCAACCGGGTGGGAGAGTACGGGGCCAAGATGGTATAGTGGCCCTCTTGCAGGTCTTCATTGAGGATGATGCCGTTTCTATTGATCCGACCGTTGCCCCAAGCTTGGTGTTTTGCGTTCAGATCGCCAGCGATCATAAAGTTCCCGCTCCTCCTGGTGAGTTTGATGATGTCTTTCCGGAGGGCCACTGACGACCCGTCCCTGATGTTGGTTTACTTGGGGCAGTAGGCCGCTCACCTCCACTCCGATGGCTTCAATTGTTTTCAGCTGGAAGTTTGGTAGCAGCCGGCAACTGATGTTCCGTCTTACAGCGATGGCCACTCCTCCACCTCCAGAGCAGGTGCGATCAAGTCTGAAGAGCCGGAAGTCGGGAAGGAATACGTTCAGTTCGGGCTTCAAATGCGTCTCGATGATGATAGCAATGTCGACCTCCTTGGTGTTGAGGAAATCGAGTAGCTCTCTATGCTTGTTCGTCAGTGAGCAAGCGTTCCAATTTGCAATTTTTATAGCTTCACGGTCCATACTTGGTGACGAGTGACACGAGCGTCACAAGTTCCTCCAAGGTGAACGGAGAATCGTCGACAGATTCACCTGAGACAGCACCAGCGTATGATAAACCAGGGGCGGTGGATGAACCTGGAATTAGCTGGGCCGCAGCAGCAGCGAGACGATGCTGAACTGTCCGACAGTTGGGAACCATTTGGATACTCGCAGGATTGGCTTTTTCGTTGTTGAGCGGAAGTGGGGCTAGGTTCGGAACATGTCGACGGGGTGAGTACAGGAAGCGAACGATGATTACGGAGGCGCCCGAGCTGGTTGTTGATTATGCTCTTCCGACGGGTATTAATGAACTCCACTCACTTGGGACATCCGCGATTGGAGGCTTGCTGGTTTCCACCGCAGTTGACACACGTTGGCTCGATGTCATCGGCTTGCTCACAGGACGCAGTTGAGTGAGTTCCAGCACACTTGCCGCAGTTTGTCTTCATGTGGCAGTTTTTGGTGCCATGGCCATATGAGAGGCAGTTCATACACTGCGTTACATCACGATGTTGGGGTTTGTAATGCTCCCAACTGATGATGGCCTGAAACAGGTCCCGGATTTTGGATCTCAGAGCCGCAAGACTGGTGGATCCCTTCGTGAAATGCACCAGGAACAACTGATCACGGAAGCTGGTGTTTTGGTTGGGACGCCGGTTCATCGGGTACACTGCCTCAGGCTTGAGCCCGAACCGCTCCAGCTCGGATTTCACCGCAGTCGCCTCGAACGACCTTCAGTGGCTTGCTCGATGACAGATCATGCGTGAAGAAGTCCACGTTGTTGTTCTTCAGGAAACATGCTATTTGTTTGCACTCCTCCAGGCTGGAGCACATGATTTTGGTACCGATGCTGCAAAGCCTGAAGCGAGGCAGCAACTTGTGTTTTGCCAGTTCGGCACCTAGCTTGGCAACATCCTTCACCGGCGTGAAAAGCGGAGGAATTCGCTCTTTTCTTGCAATGGGAGCGGCGTAACCATCGCCATTTTCTTCCGGGAGTACTACATACTGGTTGGCTTGCAGTACTCGTTTTCCGGCGTCATCCTGCGACGCGCTGGGCTTGATTAGCACTTTCTTTGAAGGGCCCGCTGTTGGCTCATTGGCACGTTTACGCGAGGGGGACGACTCTATCTACGATGCAAAAAAGATTGTGTTTTGCTGTAGCTATCTGCGCGCACGCTGAGTAGATAGAAAGAAGATTGTTGACATTTCTGAAGATTTCCTGCAAAAACTTGATGAGCGATGCAAGTAGATGTGACAAATGAAAGAAGATTGTTCGAAGATTGATTCGCTAGTGTGAGATTTGTTGAGCATCTAAACTTGAGATATAGATGTGTCGCCCCCCTCGCGTTTACGCACCATTTGTTTCGTGTTTGCAAGTTCAATTAAATTCGATTTGTCAAATGAGCGATTTGATCTATCCAACGGGCAATCAGATCTGTCAAACGAGGTGAGACGCAAACCAAGTCAATATACATTTTACGTGTGTTCGTGTCCTTGTTCATAATATGTCGCAATTGGATGAGTAGATAGCGGTAGTGTTTAACGTATTTTAAATATGGCGTCTTGAGCAAGATTCTTCTATGAGCTGTAACGCCGGTTCGTCGGTGATATTACATCAGTTTTGCGATGAAAATTGTCATCTATTTTCTCCTAAAACATGTAGATGCGTATAAAATAACCGGTAGTGGACTTTACCAACCTCTGATGGGAATATAAATATTCACCGATGAAGGTAGTGTTCATAGGATGCGCTTAAGTTTATATTATACTATTAAAAATAATCACAGTGATAACACACTTTCCCATATAGTTATGGCTTCCGTTTCAACTTACCCTGCATTTCAACTTGCCAAGGTGTATCTTAATTGAAAAAAATTTGCATTTAGATCCATTATTAATATAACATTGTAACTCCTTCAGATGATAACAAATTCTTGTTTAGCAAACTACATGATAAAGTTAAAGAAAGCTATAATGTTCATTTCTTTTTTGTTACAGATCCTTTGAAAGATCCACGGATATGTGGGCGCCCACAGTGTCAAGGTAACAGGTCACCTCTCAGCAAATTTCATAAATATCACCGACGTTTTGCTTTCAGAGTCAAACACGAAATTCCACTACCAACTGCACCGACTATACAAGTATGACTACGCTATGTACGTCAAGACCGAGTTCTCCGGAAGTGGGGAAAACTCCTCAGAACTACATCTGTCAGCAGCCGTGGAAATTGATTTCTACAAGCCATGTCAGGGTTTGCTGAAACTGTATTCAATCGAAGTCCGCGATCGACCGCAGCCCGTGGTGGAAGAACAGGACTTTGAATATGGTGCCGATTACGTTGAGCCCGCACCGGAGGTTGAATTGCATCCCAAGAGTGATGCCATTTCTGATGATCTTAGCCGGTTTGAGCTGAAGTTCGCTTTCCATGACGGCGTAGTAAGTGAGATCTGTCACGAGGAGGATGAGCCGGTTTGGACGTTGAACCTCAAGCGTGGTATTCTATCGTCATTCCAAAACAGTATGCCACGGTTCGATATCGATTATCATACAACGGAAACGGACGTATCTGGCGATTGCGATGTAACGTACACAATGAGCGGAACGAAGGGAACGAGTTTGTCGATTAGGAAGACGAAAGACATTGCATCTTGCAAAAGGCGGTACAAGACTAATTCTCTGATTCAGACAGTGCCGTACGAGTTTAGACCGGTAAGGATGTACAAAGTGATACTGACTTGTTGAGGAACTAAATGAATTCATGACTTTTCAGAACTACGTGGCGTGGCCAATCCTGAACTCGACGAGCTTTTGCAACGTAAGTGGTCTAGAAGTACTCTAAACATTTTCCAAGTAATTTGAAACTTTTGATTTTACAGATTTCGGTAGACAATTTTGTCTACAAGGAAATCATCTGCTACGAGCGTCACCAATTAGTACCGTTTTCAAATGGACAAGCTGGTGCTGTGACAGAGTCCTACAGTAAGCTAACCTTAGCTGATGAGGAATCCTACACTCCACAGGAGCACAGCTCGGACGATGAGTATGAGATTCAGAAGCGTTCCAGTCTCATCTATGATCATACACCATCGTCACGGGACAGTCATGACGAGATAAAAGCATCTCGTGAATTGCTTAAAGAACTCTGTCGGCAAGGTTTTCCAGACATTCAACGGAACTTCCCCGATGTATTTCTGGAGTTCTTGTCAACGGCAAGGGTTCTCTCGTTTACAGCTCTTTCGCAACTGTTGTATCGATCCAAGAGTATCTGTGAGAATGGAAAGTAAGTTATTCAGAAGAAGCTATACTACTGGACAAATTAAACGAAACATACTTTTTAATAGGAATCACGTGTTGGAAAGCCTTCCATACATTGGAAGTCCAGCTTCCGTTACTTTGATGAAGGATCAAATCGTAAAGGATCAAATCCCTTCCGATCTCGCCAAGCAGTGGATGGAATCGTTCGCTTATCTAACAAGGTAATAGAAAATGCGATAGTTGGTTTGCAGCCTTGACAGCCATTTCATTATTTCAGGCCAAATGAAGAAGTTCTGGAAGCAATGCTGGAGCTCATGGAGCATGGAAAGGCTATAGGTGAAAAAAATTACATTCTTGCTGCTACTTCTGTCGGACATACATTCTGCACGATTAACTCCGATTGCGGGAATAGTGATGGTATTAAAGCAATCGTTCAATTTTTGGAGAATGACCTGCTTGAGATACTCCAAACGACAATGACAAGAAAGCAACGACAGAACGTTATAGTGCTACTGAAAGGTTTGGGAAACGTTGGAGTCATCAGTGCGGAATTCTACCACGAACTTCGTGAAACAATCGAAAATGGAATCCTTCCCATGGAGATCCGTCTTCAAGCGGTTTACGCATTTCGACGTCACGATTGTATCAGAACGAGAGATTACTTCCTGAAGCTGTATTCCAACTTTGAAGGGGACGTAGAGGTTCGAATTGCTGCATATCAACAAGCCATGCGCTGCCCTGACTACCTTTCCGTCAAATTGATTAAACATGTTTTGAAAACCGAAGAGGTTAACCAGGTCGGATCCTATGTTTGGTCGCACCTGAGCAATCTGGCAAGCAGTGCCTCGCCAGTTCGAGTTGAAGCCCAAGGTCTCCTGGCTGATAACGAACTGGGAAAGAAATTCCGCATGGATATCCGAAAGTTTTCACGAAACTATGAACATACAATGTTTTTCGATGAATACAATTTCGGAACGACAACGGATGCAAATTTGATCTTCAGTGCGGACTCATACTTGCCGAGATCAGCATCGCTGAACTTAACTGCGGATTTGTTTGGAGAGTCTGTCAATTTTCTGGAGTTGAATGCTCGCGCTGAAGGATTCGAGTATTTAGTAGAGTCAGTTTTCGGTCCAGCAGGCCCTTTAAATGCCAAAAAAGTAAAGGAGTATACGTCTGCAATAACCTCGCTCTTGACCTCGGATTCAGTGGAAGAAGAACAATCAGCGTATGACCCAATCAGTCAACTACGACTCAAGAGAGATTCTGATGATGAGGATAGTTATCTGTTCGAAGAAGATGAACAAAATCTACGACCTAAGCGTCAAGCTCGAACCCCTGCTGTAATTGAACAAGACATACATGACAAGATCGACAGCATGGATTATAAAATGAAATCTGACTTCAAAGATCCTCATGCTTCGATAGGAGTCAAAATTTTTGGAAACGATCTCAAATATTTCACAATTGATGGCTTCGCAGAAACGATGATGGCAGCAGAAAAAATCAATCCACTTAATTTTATGAAAACGATTTTGTCAGGAAAAGAGGTATCCTACACCAAATCAGGAGTGTTTTTGGACACTTCCTACGATGTCCCTTTGAGCACAGGTTTTCCTTTAGCACTGAGTATAATCGGGGCATCGTCGGTAGATCTACGCATGTCCGGGTCTTTCAAAGCTAATAACGTTTGGGGATCAACGAGGCACATCGATATGGAAGGAAAGATCAAACCTAGTGTTTCCGTTGACATCACTGCAACTATGAAAACAGACTTCGTACACACGGCTACGGGCATCAAAGTGAAAAGCAATCTGTACTCTAGTTCATCGTTGGAAACTAAGGTCAAAGTGCGTGGAAACCGCCTGGCATCGCTGCAATTCAGCCTTCCGCAGGATCGCAACGAAATCTTCAGTGTCAGATCGGAAATGCTTGTTTTTGACTACAGTGGCGAAATACAGCAGAAGGGAATCAATCGCCGCTATACCAACTCTACCTGCACTTGGCCAGTCGTTGATCGAGCAATTGGTTTGAAGCTGTGTGCCGACTACAGTTTACCGGACGTCAGTAACGATAGCAATGTTCCCAGTTTAATTTTGAGCGGTCCGGTTAACCTAGACATCAGCCTCCTGAAAGCAGATCCAACGGCAAAGGTATTCCTGTTCCAATATAATTGGGACAGCCATGAAAATGTCTCAACGGGATCGATCATGTTCGAGACCCCCCATTCCCAAATTCCTCGCATCTTCATAGCAAACATCACTGCCGATACGGAAGGATACAGTGTATCGATGGGCTTCCGGAATGGAGATACCGCCCATTCGGCTGTGGGTATTTACAAGAACAGTAACGCTCAGAGGCGTTTGGATATGTCTTTGACTGTCAACGACCGGAAATATCTGGCCCTAGAGATGGGTTACAACAAAACCGAAATCAAGTATGGAATGATCTACAGTCCTTCGTTATTCCTGTCGGTGAACAACGAACGGATAGCAGGGATGGCTGGTCAAATTAAAATGACCGACAAGAAAGGCATCAAACAGTGGGACTACACTTTGCAATTCGAAACAAAACGAGTGCAAGCGAAGGTCATTGGCTATGTTCAACAAACGCAGGCGTCGATTACTAGTAAACTATCAATGGATTACAGGGTAGGTAGACTAGATCAGTTAATGGGGAAATAACTCACTATGGAACATTTAGTTTGTCAACAGCAGTCCAGAACGGGTGACCCTGGGAGGAGTATTCTCCAACAGAAGTAACCGAGGTCGTACCGAGTACCATGGCTCATTTGACTTACGATCCACGGCCTATCCGCACTTCGACTTTGCCGCAGCGATGAAGTTCCTCTCGGCTATGGGTCACATCGAGTGCAAAGTGGAGTACAACAACGCAGCGGATTTGAAGGATCCCAACTATACGACGACGCTTCGAATGATATTTGCCCGTTTTCATGTGGCCGATGTTGGAAGAACTACGGCTTCGGTAGAGTTGACCAGGCCTCGTTCGCAAACCGATTGGAAGGCGATGATAAAGTGAGTATTTAATATAATGCATATCTATGTCGGAGACACACGACTTAATCAGTAGTAGCCACTCGCCAACTTATTGTTCTTGCACACGCACTTCCACAGTTGTTCATTTATAAGATCTATCTAAGCTTTCCATATATTGTGTGACAAGTGAGTGGCCAAGCGTATAAACAAATTTCTACCTGAAAAATTGGTCTCATTTTATGGTTACGTATTTAAACTCCGAGCTAAGGTATGAACTGCTACTATTAGGATCAAGTCTCAGGTGGACAGGAGAGCGTTGTCATTCTTGATGAACCAGTTTGGTCCAGATTGATGTTGCAACGGTTACTCAGCAGTGTATCTCCGCATCTTCCGCCTATCCACCTGGACGTTTATAGTTCTGGTCAGCCACATATTCGATGCGGCTTTGTCGATGTTTGGTTGTTCGAGATGATGGGAGTGAGATAGTCTAGCTCTCTTGAGCGAGGTGCAATGTGCTGTAACCTCTATCAGCAAGAAAAACTGCTCGGTAGACTCCGTGTCGTGTGGTATTCTCTACGAAGCTCTGTTTCAATAGGATTTCGAACAAATCAACGCCCGCTTCTTCCCGGGATATGGTGAACAAGATGCACCTTCACCTTCAAAATATCAACGTTTCAGGACTTCGTTTACCTCCTGACGATAATAGGTATTAACTCGATGCCATAGAGCAATTCTCACTGAAACCAGTTCACTGTTTGCAGGAGGTTCTCAAACATTTTTTTTGTACTCGTTCAGTAGTTTTAGTTATGAAACTATAAAAATAAAACAGTCAGTTAAGGTCAAATTGATGGAACCCTCGATAAATAGGAGCTCAAGCAGTTTTCAAAAGTGCTAAATTTTTGCAGAATCTTGATTCATTCAAATCATTATATCTTTTATATTCATACATACATACCGTTGTAAAGAAGAATGTTAGGGCTTTCATAAGGCATATTCAAAACAATTAGAGGGCATTTTGAATCTGTCGCCATATTAGATTTAATCTTTAAAATGCTGAGATTTTTTTCAATAAGATACAGTTCAAATTTCTATGGAGCAATTTAATCAATCATCAATCAATTTAGACAATTTAATTTGTTCATACAAATATAAAAAATAACACAAATGTTTTGATAAATCAAATGATCAGCTATTCAGTTTGCTTTCAGCTGTGCAACACTTGTTTCTCACGCTATCGACGGTTGTTTACTCGGTCCCGGTATTGTTTTCATGCACTTGGTTAATTGCCTGCAGCTCGGTCAGTGCTCGGTTAGTTCCAATAATGGTCGAAATAAAGCAGACTTTGTATTTTGCCTATCCAGATGGGAGTTCAAGGCCAAACATGGGCGAGATTGCAAACTTCGCTAAATCATAGGACGCGAATCATGGTGACATATACGTCACATATCAAATTGCTGAGGAGAAGGCGATCTTCATAAAGTTTAAACCTGAAGCAAGTATGCATTGCGCTTACATTGATAACTGACTAACTTCCTAATATGCTAGTGAAAAGGCAGTGGAGGTACGAATGTCGCTTGCCGGGGGCAACGTGCAATACGTGCGATCTGCTACCAGAAGTACTAGATTGTGATCTAACATTGGTGGTAGCAAAATACTGAAAAGTGGAAGTGTATCTTTGAAAATTCTTAAGAAAAACCCTAATAACTGCATATCACTGAAAAGGGCTACACACATAGATTATTTTAAAGGAGTCAGTATTTTTACTGGGTTTTTGAATTGCTGAAAAAGTCGGTAAAAATTAAAATGATTGTTATCGGTAATGGGGTGTTTACACTTATGCTATTTCACTAGCGTTAATGAACTAGCTGCTAGCAAAAAAGCTCACTAGCATAATGTAATTTCAGGAGCTTATGAAATTCGTGCTAGTTGGCGAGTTTTGATTTCAAAGCAGCATACGATTCAGTGAAGAGAAATGAGCTTTGACAGATTATGCTAGAACATGGTTTTCCGGCGAAACTAATTAGACTGATTCGCGCAACGCTAGATGGATCGAAATCAAGTGTAAGGGTTGCAGATGAGATTTCGACCTCGTTCGTGACCTTAGATGGATTGAAGCAGGGTGATGCACTTTCAAACTTACTGTTCAATATTGCTCTTGAAGGAGCGATTAGGAGAGCTGGTGTGCAGAGGAACGGTACCATCATCACACGATCGTACATGCTCCTTGCCTTTGCGGACGACATCGATATCATCGGAATTGACCATAGAGCAGTGGAAGAGGCGTTTGTGCCTTTTAAGAGGGAGACGGCGAGGATTGGGCTCACGATAAGTTCTACCAAAACGAAGTACATGGTAGCCGGTAGACAGCGTGGGAGCAATAGTGGTGTTGGTAGTGTAGTGTTGTTAGATGGTGAACAATTTGAGGTAGTGGAAGAATTTGTGTATCTTGGAACACTAGTGACATGCGATAATGATGTTACCCGCGAGGTGAAGAGACGTATTGCAGCTGCAAACAGGGCCTTTTACGGATTACGTAGCCAGCTGAAGTCCCGTAGCCTGCAAACGAAAACGAAATTCGCTCTGTATAAGACGCTGATACTTCCGGTAGCCCTCTACGGCCACGAATCGTGGACGTTAAAAGAGTCTGACCGGAGAGCATTTGGTGTCTTCGAGCGTAAGGTGCTGCGAACAATACTCGGCGGTAAACAGGAGAATGGCATCTGGCGGCGTCGCATGAATCACGAGTTGTACCAAGTGTATAACGGTACGGATATAGTGAAGCTTATAAAACACGGCAGACTACGGTGGGCTGGGCATGTAGTGCGGATGCCGGAAGAACGACAAGCAAATATTATATTCAGCAGAGAACCCGGTAGAGGTCGTCGACTCCGGGGTAGACCTCGGACACGTTGGCTATTTGCAGTTGAGGAGGACATCAGGTCGCTAAACGTTCATGGCGACTGGAAGCGATTGGCTCAGGACCGAGTCCAATGGAGAAGAGTACTTCGTTCGGCGTTGAATCAACCTGGCGATTCGTAGCCCATCAAGTATCAAGTATCAAGTAAGCTAGTTGGCGAGTACACGAGTAAATCCGCACAGAAGACCGAGCAGAAGACCCCATAAAGAAATCAATGAAATCGACAAATTTTATTTTCTATGATTAAAATGGAGTTAACAGAACTAAGCATGTTCAAGTTCGGAACAAATTATCACATTTATTAATTTTCACTAATTTTTAAACTTTTACCGAACAGTTCCGCAATTCAAAAACCCCGTAAAACCGTACTGATTGGATTAGAGTGTAAGTTAGACTTTCATTTGGCATAACCAAAATATTAAGCAACCATATTGGATTTGGCAGCCATACTGGATTTTTATAATAAAATGCGATTTTCCTAAGGGAACATCCAAACATGACGTAACTCTTTTTTTTTTGATCAATTGTAAACCCCCCTCATAGCGTATTTAGCTATATTTAATACATGGCCAGACACAAATTCTGCAGACCCCCTCACCCTCTCGTTCACTCTAGAACAATACGTAATTTATGCATCGTTCCTAATGTATTTTCACTAGTTGGCTGTTCACAACCCAAGTAACATTGCAAGTTTTATCAAGGTTTTAAAGTGTTCTACAAGTCCAATTCATGGTCTACAGAACCCTCATAAAACCAAAATTGTTACTTGGGAAACTACCTAGATCGATTTTAAGAGGTTTTAGAACCCCTCCTCCACGTAGACAGACGTCCATACAATTTCAGGGAATTTTATATGAATCATAGACATTCATCAACACCCCTCCTCCCACAAAAGTGCACAGCCTCTAGGATGGGTAAATTTGACAACCCCTGCTATCCACTGCTATTCTGATCTGTATTGAGGTCCTCAACAACAGTGCCAAATTTGAACTGATTTGGATGAGATTTGGATTTACGGGAGAAGTTTAAAGTTTGTATGGGACAATGTATAGAAAACGGAATGAAGCCATTAATTTGCTTATTAAAAATACAAAAAGTGGTCAAAACTGCTCATTAGATTGGGGTATCTTGCGATGTGCTATGGTTAGATTCTTGAACCATACAATATGAACTCTGCCAGAACTGAGAACTGGCCAGTTTCTCTGGAATCGTGTAGCTTAGCGGACATTTGCTTCTGTGTTTGCATTTTTTCGATTTGGCCACAGTTTTCTTCCTCCCATACCTCGGATCAACAGCTGGGGACTTGGCCGATTTCCGGAAGACCGTTGCGGATTCAGTGTAACGCCTGAGCCTCTTTGATAGGACGCTATCAGCTGTAGTACCGATGTGTCGATTTTCTTCATCATGGTGCGAATTCAGCAAGCAAAAACTTAGTATTTTTCATGATTTTCATTTTCGTGTGACTTACTTAATGAATGCTCCATTGTTGGGATTCCTTTTTCTATTGGTGTAACGCGGTAACCCTGGCTCCTTCTTTTTCGCATATCAAGCTCATTGCTTATCGCATATTAGCTTATTGTGTGCTCTCAACTTAGTGTTCTAAAATGCACTTCCACAGTTATTAATTGAGAGTTTTCGATGCCTGATACCAATGCATGAATTTGTATATTGCGTGGCAAGCACAATGATACTCTATGCTCAGGGAAGTCGAGAAAATTTCCAACCCGAAAGATTCCCTCGACCGAACCGGGAATCGAACCCGCCACCTCCGGATTGGTAATACCGTGCCTTTACTGACTAGGCTATGAGGCCCCTTCCCCAGGCTCCTGGCAAGCTAGTTAACATATTTCAGTTTATTCGTGACTTGTACGGAATGAGATTTGAAGTCGTGACCTTTATCGTGAGAGGCATTGATGCTAACCAGGCCAGTCCTCGATCGTACAAGACATGAACTTTGGTTCTGGTGTTGTCTTCCTTATCACTCGTTCACTTAATACTTACGTATGCTGAGCTCCTTCAGTGGTGGATAGAGCCAATGTGAAAGATTTCAATGCTTGACGGCTATTGTCGTTAAACTGGTTGCCATGGGTCATGATGTCCAATCCAGCGTTTGCTTACAGAT